GTCAGACAAGACCGGAGAACCTCCATATAACTCAGTCTGGGGGCTAGACTGAGACACTCTATCCGATGATGTCAGCACATAATGCTTTTACTTTGCACCATAATTACTGAATGTCTGCTTGGTTAATAAGGTGGCATGCTATTTTGGTCTAAGGCTAAGTATATTTTACCAGTTATTAAAGTATGCAGACTTCTTGTTAACTGTGCCCTGTGATAAGGAATTTGCATAGTAATAGGCTTAGTTATGAGACAAATTACAGGGTGAAAAGTGACTGGTTAAGGCTGGCCACCTGCCCTTAGCCTTTGCCTGCCCTTAGTCTTCTCATCCATTACAGGCTTGCCCAGGAGACAGTGGGGGCAGGGGAGGATGTTCTTGCACTCCCTGGAAGGATCTAGCATGGCACAGGCAGAAGCGAGCATCACTGAGTTACCAGCAGTTCACAGCAGCAGTGATCCAGGTCCAGGCCTCAGGTGGGGCAGGTGTCACATCTTGGTTTCATGGCACCATATGGTGGTTTCTTTATGTGACCAGTGGTGGTCCTTTCCAAACTCTGTGTCACCATCTTAAAGAATAAGCTGATTAGTTCTCTTCATGAAGGAGGGGAGTCTATCTGCTGAATTTAAAGCAACCTTTAAATAACCTTAAAGGTTATTTTTCCTTTAAGAATTCTGACCTGGGGTCCAGCAGGTAGCATACTGGTTACGGTGCTGGACTCCCATGTGGCCAACTGTGGCTCGAGTCTAAGACCCAGAGACTTCAAAATCACCCTGGGTGTGTGTGTGCACATGCATACCTGCCCAAAATCCCAGGAGGAAAATGGAGAAGGGATTGCAGCATGGCCATCCCCCCGGGAGTGATTCTCACTTTCACTCTCTCTCTCTCTCTCTCTCAGGCGAGTGCATGTATCCTATAGTATAAAACCTTAAAAATTAAAAAAATCTTAAAGAATCCTGACCTGAAGTGTTTGTATGTATGAGCATGTTTCTCTGTATACATGTGTGTCTTAGTTCAGGTTGCTATGAGAAAGTACCACAGACTTGAGGGCCAGCAGTTGGCGTGATGGCTATGTCGCTGGACTCCCATGTAGTTGACCGCTGTTTGAGTCCCAGACCTGGTGGCTTAAACTCACGCTGGGCGGGTGTGCGTGTGTGCCCAAGATCCGGAAAGGAGAATGGAGGAGAAGGGATTGCAACATGGCCGTCCCCCCTGGGGGGGTGATTTCTCAGTTTCTGTCTCTGGCTAGTGCAAGCACCCTATAGCAAAAACCTCTATTTAAAAAAAAAAAAAAAAAAAAAAAGGAAGAAAGAAAGTACCACAGACTCCACAGACTGGGTGGCATATGAACAGCAAAATTAATTTTCTTATAATTCTAGAAACTGGAAGTATGAATCTGGGCACCAGAATTTGTTGAGATTTCCGGCGTCTGAAGCCTGTGCATTTGTGTCTGCCTGTGGTTATAAGTTATCTCTAGTGACAGTTCAGGCCTGCTTTAATTAAGATTTCCCTTTGAATTAAAAACATGTAGTAAATATTGTAATCATTGCCTCTGGCTGTGGGGAGACCACCTGGGTGTTAAGTGAGCGCTAAGTGAGACCAGAGCAGGGAGGCCTGGGAGGCACTCCTCACCAGAGCCAGTGCACCGGCAAATGTGCCTTGTGCTCGCACTTAAGTGGGTATAGGTGTTTCAGGTGGGCTCAGGAGCAAGGTATTTGGGGGTGACCCTGTCACTGGCTGGGACTAGAGTAGGGACCTGAGCTAAGACAGTCTGCCTGACCGTAGTCAGTTGAGCTAGGCTGTAGGCCAGGGTGCCGCTCTGGTGAAAGAAATCAGTGTTGATCAGAGACTGGCAGCTATTGTTCATTAAAAATGGTCATGTGCCAAGATCTTTATGTCTGTCCATTTTTTGGTTCATTAAAAAGGCTGAGTTCTAAGGTCTTTACATCTGTCTGTGTTTTAGTTACTTGTTTTCCTCTTTCATAGATGAGGAAATACAAGCTCAAGGATTAAGGTATTTTTGAGGCTCTAAAACAGTTGGACCCCAGGACTGGAACCAACTCTATCTGACTCTAGTACCTAGGCGTACTCCATTTTGAAATTACACTACCCTTTGGAGGGACAAAGTGGGTGCCTGCCGTGAGAGCTACCGCAGGCAGGATGCACCTAACTGGGCACCTGCCCCAGACCCAGTACTAGCAGAGGCCGGCCCACTGCCAGCTTTCCTCAGGATTAGTTGAGATCTTGGGGGTCGGGGAATGCTGTGCCTCAACTGATGGCATGGATGCTTCCAAGCCACGTCTACAGGACTGTCACGGGTCTTGGCAGTCTGAGTCCCGAGTTACAGTGCTGCACCAGGGAAGTCCCGATTACGGACGAACTGGCCACCTGAACAATCAGATCCCCACTGCTCAGTTCCCCTCTGCACTGTTCCCTGATAAGACCGGTGTCTCTCCTGCAGCTCTGGCTGACTGCTGGGAATCAGTAATTTTTTGGTAAGGGAAATTAGCTCAGTGTAAACTGCAGATCCTATAGGAGATCCAGTATTCCATGAAGACAGTGACGGAGAGGTTGGGAACTATGTAATTGACGTATGTTGATGCTTGAGGATCTGATAGAACCAGACAAATTATACTTGGAGAAGAAAAATAAAGAAGGATGTATGAGGAGTATTTTTCAAAAGGATCTGAATATCAAAAGATTTAGAAAGGGACCAGCAGGGGCATGGTGGTTAAGGCGCTGGACTCTCCCATGGTTCAACTCCTGGACCTGGTGGCTTGCTTTCTCTCTCTGTCTCCTCTCTGTGTGTCTTTCTGGTCAAATTAAAAAATGAATGAATGAATAAAGTGAAATCATTCTTTTAAAAAAAGACTTAGAAATACTCCTGAAAAATTGATGAAGTCCGTGAGTTTACAAAAATGACCTTCCTACTTCTTTTATAAAAGTTAAACATGGGGCCAGCCAGTGGCTTGCTCATATAGCCAGCTGTCCACCAGTTTGAGTCCCAGATTCGGTGACTTGAAGAACACTGGGCCTGTGTGCATGTGTCCCCAAAATTCTGAGAGGAAAATGGAGAAGAGACTGGTGCGGCCATTCCCCCTGGGGGATATTTCTCATTTTTTCTCTTCCCCTCCGCCCCCATCTCTGACAAGTGCATGTGCTCTGTAGCAAATAAAAATATAAAAAAAAGTAAAACACGAAGAGAAAGGTGTTAGTTCTTCAAAAAGTACACATAAATCCTCCTCAAAAAACTACCACAAAACAAAAAAAGTTGTTTCATTCTTTAAGAAAATGGTTCTAATGGCATGTTCTTAACCTAAATTTTGTCATCTATAACTGAAAATAGACGTATCTTCATATTTTTAGTACCCTTCCATTTTTAAAATATTTAAATATTTATGGATACTCCTATGAATGAGAGAGTCAGAGGGAGAAAGGGGGAGAGAGACAGCACCCATAACAGGGTCTTGACACCGCCACCCACTCCTCGCTGCAGCCAGCCCCAGTCCATGAGCACGCATGTGCCCATCACACTCAGGCTTCCAGACGTGAACTCAGAACCTTCCCATGTGAGTGAACCTTGCAGAGCATTGTATTTTACCACTGTCCACCCACCCACCCCATTTCGTAAGGTTAAGACCCAATCAAACTTTCCATTTCCTTCCACCAGCTTACACTTTGAAATGATCGTCTTTGTTCAGATGGATTTATTGACTGCCACTCCACCCTGCCCCGTACCCAAGAGTCTTAGTTAACTAGGACCTGTTCTTATTTCAGCCTGGCAAAAGAAACTAGACTGAGGAGGTTTTAGCAGGTGGTTTTCTATAGCAGCCTGGGAGAGTTAATGTTTTGTGTAATCATACTGCATACAGTAGACTCCCCTTACTTTTGTTTTTTTTTTTTTTTAATTTAATTTTTTTTTTTTTTAAGGAATCCACTTAGGATGCTTGCCTATTTTTTTTTAAAAAATAATTACTTTTTAAATTTTATTTATTCATTTATTTTTTAATTTGACCAGAGAGAGACAGAGGGAGTGACAGAGAGAGGAAGTGAGAAAGCAAGCCACCAGACTCAGGACTCAAACCCTGGTCGGCCATGTGGAAGTGTCCACTGCCTTAACCACCACCCCACCTCCCTTACTTTAGAAGAGTGCATTTCAGGACCCCCAGCAGATACCTGAAACCACGAATAGTACCAACTGGACTGAGGCAGCTGCTAAGGTCTCATGGTCGTGTGCACAGACAACACGGATACGCAGGACAAAGGGATGATTTGTGTCCAGAGGTGGACCATGCGACATTTCATCACACCACTCAGTGTGACGCACACAATGTAAAACTTAGCAATTGTTTATTTTTGTTATTTTCTACTTAATATTTTCAGACCGTGATTGACCACAGGTAACTGAAACTGTGGAGAGTGAAACTAAGGATGGGGAGGAAGGACGTATTGCATTCTTTTTACTGGCCTCTGAGGAATTCTTCCAAGGAATACTTTCTTGCTTGCTAATAAGTTACTTTTGAAATCATGGCCACCAAGAGACCGTAACTTGTATACTGCATCCTAATGATTTTCAGGTGCTGCTGAATCCGGTTTTAAAATTTGATGCATACCAGTTACCCAGATCAGATTGCCACTATCTGAATCCTTAACAGTATCACCTAATGCTTTAGCAAGACTGCACACAATGCCTAAATTAGACTGTACATTGTAAGAGGCACCTTGTCTCTCGGGGAATTGCAGCATTAAAAGGGTCAGTGACTCCCTTAATCACCACTGAGCGGCCCTGAACCAGAGAAGATCCTCGGGAGTGAGCAAGCCAGGGAAGGCCTGGCGTTCTCTCTGCGGGATGGGAATGTAGCAGCCTCTCAAAGACAACTTTCATCTGCTCTTTTTTTTCTCCCTTTAACAATTTTAAATTTTAGAACAGTTTTAGACTTACAGGAATGTCTGATTAGCTTTACAATGTAATTTAACTCCTACATTTTTTCCCCTTCTCTCTGCAGACGTCGCCTCATCTCTCAGAGATCATCCTTGGAGACCCTGGAAGATATTGAGGAGAACGCCCCTCTCCGGAGGTAATTTTTAGATATTTCACTTCTGTATATGTAAACAACTTATAGTACAAGATGGATTTTTTTTTTAATTCTTGATCTGCGGAATTCAGCTTTTTTTTTCTTTTTAAGTTTATTTATTTATTTACTTCCTCTGTGAGAGAGAGATGGGTACCCCTGGCACAGTCTCCACATGCACACCTGGCCTCACGTGTACAGGGAAACCTCGGGATGCGGATCAGGGGCCTCCCCACGTGGCCTCAGTGACATGGAGTGTGGTGTTGGCTGCACCGTCATGCCTAGTCACAAAGAATTAAATTTTTGAAATGACCTTCTGAATCCCAGAAACTTTGGAATTCCATACTCTAGTTTGGAATCCTAGCCTGACGGCCATTGAAACTAAAAAACTACTAAATCCCAGTTAGGTATCAGGACAGCCCAGTTTGCATGTAAATTTGGGTGCTTTTCCTCATGGAGTTCCCTTTCATTTAGCTGCTTCATAACATCTCCCTGGCCCTTTCTCCAGGTAGTACACAGTAGTTACAGTCCGGGGCTTCATTTTCTGCAGGAGTGGCGACCAGAACCCTGTAAGAGGTGACCGTGATGTGCTTCCCTAGCCGGTTGCTGGGGAAACATGATTATTATGGTTCTGAGTGCTCCCTTGGGTCTAAATGCATTCCCTGTCTCCCTGGGATCTGAAAAGTGCTTGCGAGGTATCTTTCTGGGTGACAGCAGTTGCTGAGCTGTGCCTGTGACCGTCAGCTTTCCCACCTCTAATCCTGTTCTCCCCATCTGGCCACATCTGTGCAGCGGTCCAGCCAGGCCCTCCTTGTGGAGGGGAGAATACTTGCACATACGGCATGTCTTTCCGAGCATGTGGGGGCTTCGCCCTGCAGAAGGCCTTATAGGGACAGCAAGGCAGGCAGCAGGGCAGGGCCACAGGAGGATGTGGGCCTCCACAGACTTGCACCTGCTTCTCCTGGAATCCTCATCTGCACCACACATGCCTAGGAGCCTGGGAGGGGGTGGCTGTGGAAGGAGGAGTCTTACCCTTTGTTCTGGTCAGGGCACTATCACCCCCATGCCCATCCTGCCCAGACTGGCCCCTGTCTTCTACTACTCAGCCCTGTGGTAGCACAGATGAGCAGAGAAAAAAGGGCTTTATCTGCCGAAACTATGACTGGCAAAATACTACACTGAATTTCAAATGGATCTTGTGTAAACATAAAATCTTAAAAATACGTTTTAAAAAGTCAAGTGCTTTGAGCTGTATTAGAAGTCTATTTCTTAAATGGACTTTTTTTTTTAATTGAAAGAAGTTCTCATATTTACTTGGAAATTGACTTGTTCCTGGGAAATCACTATTAGAATGATTTAGAAGAAGGGACATTAGTTTGGAAGTCAGGGAATCTGCGTTACTGGGTTTTCTGTTGTTGTTGTTTTTGGAGTCTTCTAACTGGTTATATGGCCTTGGAAATTCATTTACTATCTCTTGGTCCTTGATTTTCCCATCAGTAGAGTGGGAGCTCCCAATTAGCTGATTGCTGAGATCCTTTCCAGCCTGTGAAACAAAGGCACCAGTGAAGACTCTGAAATGTTTTGGGAACTGTGGATGCAAAGGCTTTTAGCCCAACCTGCCTTGTGTTGCCCCCCCCTCCTTTTTTTTTTTTTTTTTTTTTTTTTTTTTTTTTTTTAAAAGAGGTTTTTGCTATAGGGTACATGCGCTTGCCAGAAAGACATAGAGAGATAGAAAACAAGGGAGGCTGGCCACACCGCAATCCCTTATCCTCTTGGGATCCTGGGCTTGCACACGCTCCTGGCATGAGTTTAAGCCACTGGGTCCTGGACTCGAACCATGGTTGACTACATGGGAGTTCAGTGACATAGCCATTAGGCCAACAGCTGGTCCCTAGCCCAACCTACTTTTAGGCTTAGTACCTAGTACAAATGGCCCCAAGGCATCTATTATCTATTAAGCCTGTTACATAATTAAGTGTATCCTGTAATCAGTGCTAACAAGAAAGAGCCAGTCTTTCATTAAATTAGTTTTTAATTTAATTCTATCCTAATTTAATTTTGTATCACTTAAAATGTATGTTTTTAAAATAGATGTTTACATGTTAATGCACGCAGCTCCAAAATTAATTCGTTCTTTGCTTAACCTGCCTGCAACCTGATCTCTCAGCATTTCAGTTTCCTTAGAGATTGTTGCTAATGCCACATTCTCTTAAATAATTTTTTAGATTCCCTGGTGGTTTAGTGGAATGCTTAAAAAAGAAAAAAAAAAAAAGGCAAGACAACAGCTCCCTGAATGAAGAGCTAGATTAGTGGGGTGTATAGTTAGAATTAGGTACTGAGATTGAAATAAAGGACCTTTGTTAAGTTAAAAGTCTTTTTAGAACAGTTTGTTCGTGTGTTTCCTTTATTCACCTGGAACTCCAAGAAGTGGGTATGTAGTTTTCACTCCTTGCTGGTTACCCAGTGCCCTAATAAGGAGTTGCAACATCTCTACTAGGTGCTGAGAAAACCCTTGTCTGCGACAGACATTGCCGCCATCATCACCTGCCCTGGCTTTCCTGTCTGGGTGGGCGGCTGTGGCTGTTAAAGTGATTCCTGCCTCCTGCCACCGCCCTTCCCTGCTGGCATGGGCAGACACCTGTGACCTTTCACTGACTTCAGTTCTCACAGAAGGCTGAGGAATTTGGTGTCTCTCTGTCTGCAGGCATAGGAGGCAGGAGCAGCTCAGGGCATCCCTCATCTGTGCTGGGGTGGGACCAGGGATGGTGGGTGCCAGAGTTTGCTGAGTTGGCAGGACCTGTGAGTTCCATGAACCCACTTCCTGTTTAGCTCTTGGCCTGCCACCCTGAGACTAGCTGGCCCAGGCAGGTTGGTTTTGGGGGCCTTTGCAGGGAAGGGAAGGAAAGATCTGGGAAGGGAAGGGTCTGAAGATATTCCTCAATTCTTGGCTCTAACCAGAAACCACTGAAGAGGTACTATGATACTTTGGGAGGTTCTCTTCTCTCCAGTGATCTGATGTTTCTAGAACTGTCTGTGTGTTGAGAGTCAGTTGGGGACCTTGGCCTCAAAACTCAAACAGTCCTTCTAGAGGTAAAACCGGGATAGGAAGCCAGCAGGACGGTAAAGGGGTACCATTCCCTATTCTAACCCTGCCTGAATTGCCCAGTAAACAGCTATAAAAGTCCTCAAATAGGGTTCTACAAGTCTTTAATAGAATCTTCATTTAAAGCCAAAAATCCAGGATCTTAGTAAGGACTGCAGTTTTGTTTGTTTGTTTGTTTGTTTGTTTTGGAAGTTTTGCTTCAGGCATATGTGCTCACTTGAAGAGAGGAGGGATAGAGGGAAAGTGAGGAATCCCTCCCCAGCAGGAA